AAAAAAAAAAAAAAAAAAAAAAAGGAACCGGAATAGAGTCCTCTGGAGGATGGAAACTTCCAGCCCAGCCTGGGTGACTTAGCAAGGCTGTCTCAGAATAAACAAAAATTTACAAGGGCTGGGGGTGTAAGTTAGTGCAAAAGCCCTGAGTTTAATCCCTAGTACCGGGGGGCGGTCACAGGGGAGACACAGGTCATCCATCCCACTGTCCTGCCTCTGCTCTGTCCCCTCCTCCGCCTGGGAAGGCAGGGAGGGGAGCGTGGCCTCAGCACTTCTCGGTAGGCCCCGCTCTGCCCTGCTGCAAATGCGATTTCAAGGCACCTGTCCTCTTGTCTGGGCAAGGTGGGGGGTACCCTGGCTGGAGCGGGGATGATGGTCTCCTGGGGCCTGGACCCAGTCCCTCTAACACTCCTGCTGTCTCTCCTAGCCGAGGAGGAAGAACCCCCAGGAAGGCGTGTACAATGTGAGTAGGGGTCATTCACACTTGACCCCATGAAGTTGGGGGTGGGCAGCAGCAGCCTCTGGGCGTCTCTTCTCCACACTGCAGTTTCTTCCTCTCTAGGCTGGCAGTTCCCTGGCTCAAGCAGGTTACCTGAGTCATTTGCAGGTCATTTCTGGCCCCTCCCCTCCCCTTCCTGTTTTCTGGGCTACAGTTCTCAGGCCCGCCAGCCCGGGGAGTGAAATTTCTCTGCAAGCTAAACTGGGTGAGAGCGAAGAGCTTTCTTCTCATGTACTGCCCTATCCTGGTTGCTTCAGGCCATAGGAGGTTGCTTGCAGGCTACAGAGCCCTCTCCTTTCTCCTGCAATTGGTTGATCCACACTTGGGTGGTGTTGGTGGAGATGGCTTGCTCAAATACATGCTTGTGGGGGCTCCAGGTGAGCCCCTGTGTTGCCCAGTGTGTCTGCCACAGTCTCCAACGCCACCTCTTGTTTGTAGAGCTTCACTGAGCTGGTGGCTCAATGCGAAGGGCTGAGTCCCAAGGGGTGGGTGGAGCTGGTGGTGGGTGTAAGTGCTACACGGTATAAAAGTCTTGCAGCTGTGCTGTGGGCAACCCAGCCAACTTGAGGATGAAGAGGCTTCCTCTTGTGGAAGAACCTATTCTTTTCTGCATTTGTCAATAAAATCAGCAACAACTATGCCTTCTCCTCCAGGCCCTGCAAAAAGACAAGATGGCAGAGGCCTACAGTGAGATCGGGATGAAGGGTGAGGTGAGTAGCGCTCTGTCCCCGTGCCCTCAGAGCTCCTCATGGTGTCTTCTCCATAGGTCCCTCAGATAACGTGCAGAAACACCCACTCGGTGGTCCCCCTGGGGAACAGCTCCAGCTCTCACCCAGTTGGACAGAAGAAGGACTGAGGCTCTTTCAGGACTGAAAAACAAATCTAGATTCTGTGGTAGCCTAAGCTTGGCAGGAGCGAGTCAGTTCTGTCTGTCACTGGTCATGCCCGGAAGTTCTGAGAGGGTCTTGTGTGCTGACCCGCACACAGGGGCAGAATAATAGGGGGCCCCTTGTTTGTAATTGAGGAGGAGTTTCAGGATGAGGAGAGCAGAATGTGGTGCCCTAGCACGGGCCCAGGTTCACTGCAGAGGTTTTGTCTGTGAAGCCTTTGTGGTTCGTGCCCCTTACAGAGGGGTCCCATTTAATTCCCACCATAACCCAGGGAAAAATGCATGCCCTGCAAGGAACAGGGAGATTAAATGACCTACTCAGGTCATGTAGCTAGGAAACAGGGGAGCAGGAGTCCAATAGCCCGGACCCCATAACAGCAGTTGCTATTCCTAGCAAGCGTTGATACTGGCCAGGCATTTCAGGAGTTGCAGAGAGGCCTCTTCATTCCAAGCAGCTGATGACATGGCCAGATGCTATGAGGATTCTAGGAGGATCCAAGCCAGGTCTCCTCTTACTGTGCAGAGCTGAAGGAGGCCCAACTAGGGCTTTTGGTCCCAGGGCAAGTGTTGTCTGAGAGACAGGCACCTCTGACTTTCCTGGGATCCTCTGAGTGGGGCTCTCAGACAAGCCATGCCACTACTGACTGCCTTACTTTCTAATCCTTCTCATTTCACAGCGGCGGAGAGCCAAGGGGCACGATGGCCTTTACCAGGTAAGAGCGGGACCTTCCTTCCTGAGTGCCAGTGTCTGACAAGGGGCAAGACCGAGGCTCCTGCAGTTTGCTTGCTGGTAGCACCGGCTCTTATCAGCACCTGGGCAGAGTAAGCCCCACATCATGCAGGCCAGGCGAGTGGCAAATGCAACGCCAGTAAGTCCCAGGGGCAGATGGGACTCGGCCTTCTAGCAGATCACTTGGCTTCAACCAGGAGGCCATGAGAGTCCCATGGATATTTTGGCCATAGCAGCAGCAGAGTGCAGTCCCCAAAGGTGCAGACAGAGTAGGCAAGGCCCCTACACAAGTGATTCCCTGTCTTGCATCTGCTACACAGGCCTCTTGCAAAAGCCTTGACTCTTTAGACCTAAGATCTGGGAAGATGCACAGGAAGGTGGGAGAAACAGAAATTAAGTAAAATGGATAGCTTCAACATTTCAAGGAGAATGTTATTATAATCTGGTGTCTTATGCAAATTAGTGCAAATGATTATACAAATTAAGTGTAGTCAACCTACTTTTCTAAAACAGGAACCCCAGTGGTTCATTTTGCTCCTTTTGGCTCCCTGGCCCTGTGCTTTCAGAGGGCAGAATGCCATCGAAAGGGCCCTGGAACTCACCTGTTGGAAACTGGTGTAGCCTGTGCCTTTCTAGCCCCTGGACCAACCCAGCCTGCCGCTCCCTAGGACACGCTGTGGTGGCCAGACCTGGGACAGAGGCTCACAGTGGAGGCAGGACTGAGGCTCAGGAGCTCCACTTTCCCTGTGACAAGTCTAGGCTTCCCATGGGCCCAGTTGTCAGGCAGCGACTTCTCTGGGGTGTGCCTGGCCCTACCCTCTGACTCCAGCTCCACATTTGAGGGTGGGAAGCCTTCCTCCTCTCTGGCCTGACGGGAAGCTGGCTGGGCCTAGTCATTGCAGGGCCCAGCACTTGGGAAGCTGGGAGAGGGGAGGATTCAGCTGGAAAGAGTTGTTGCGAACTGTGGGAGGGGTCTTCTTGGGCTCCTGGATGGGCTCTTGACTATTCTTCTTTTTTGTTTGTTTACTGGGGATCGAACTCAGGGTCCTGCTCTTGCGAGGCAGGTGGCAAAACCACTGAGCTAAATCCCAGGCCCTTGACCACCCTTCTTTTCCAATCTGCTTCCACCAGGGCCTCAGCATGGCTACCAAGGACACCTATGATGCCCTCCACATGCAGACTCTGCCCCCTCGCTAACAGCCAAAGGATTCTGCCTCTTACGGGCCTGACTTACTGATGCCCAGATGGTGAAGGACATAGGATTAAGCATTCGCAGCCACGAAAGTGTTTCTGTATGAATAGGATGCCTCAAATTGTAACCTTTGGTCTTCTTTAATCTCAAACGATCCCACACAGAACGTCATCCCTGGACTCCCTCTCCCCCAGGGTGGCCGGCCTGTCCTGGGGTCTTCTGGCTTGCTGGTGACTGCAGACGGCTCCCTTTCCCTGAGGTTCCAGGCCCCGGCTGGGGGACAGCTGCACACCCTCTCACAGCTCACTTGTTATGTCAGTGTTCTGTAAAGTCCCCAGGGAAGCCCCCAAATGTAAGCACATGTCCAGTCTGTATCTTTCTGTCCAAATTTGAGTGGCTTTGCTCCTGCTGCAAATTTGGCTTCCATGGTCAACCTTCCCTCATTTCAAGGTAGCCTGTCAGAGCCACTTGGTGCCCTGGCAGCAGCACACCACTTGCTGAGGTGGGTGAGGGAGGACAGGGCACGGGGAGGACTATGAGGAGCAGGGGGCCTCTTCCTGCAGGCGTGCTTGTCACAGGTGCCCCCGGGACTGAGATGGACAAGACAGCCTTCCTTCATGGAGCGCACGCTGAGGGGGAAGCACTGGCAAGACGGCAGGAAAACCACAGGAAGTGTCACTATGGAGGACGAGTGAGAGAAGGGTGCCAGCTCAGGCTTGCTCTCAAGCCTGCCCTCGCCCCACCTTTGCCTGAATGGCGGGCTGTCCTTGCAGAGGTCTTGAAGATGATCTGGCACCACATAGCCCCTTGATCATCCCTGCGGGCCGGGGTGCCATGGGAGAAAGCCCTGGACACTTGCTGTGCAATTAAAGACACATGGCCATGGATGGAAACCCCTCTTTGCTCTGCTTGGTTTTAATTTATACTGGCTTGCTTGAGCCTTGCTGTTTTGCATAATAAATGCTTCAGCGAAAATGCAGCTTACCCTAAGCTTTATTCCAGCAGTCATCGAAAACATGCATGTGGGGACACAGAGGTGGGCACAGGACACCCAGACACCTCTGGTGTTTCCTGTGGCCGTGGGGAAAGCGTCCTGGGCGTCTGGGCTGGTGGCTGTGCCTTGGGAGAGGACAGTGCCCAGTGCAATGTAATGCAGAACCCAGAGGGTGACAGGAAAGTTACCTGGCTTCTGGAGCACAGGGAGACTCGCAGGAGACCGGCCAGGAAGAGTTCCCTGTGAGCAGCAACTGACACCGTGGCACCACATCTCAGTCCATAGGATTTGGGGGCTGCAGTGGCTGACAACAGATCTTGTAGGTCAGCTTCCTTCACTGTCCAGCAGTATTTCCTTTACCTGCAGCAGCTCCAACTCACACCCACTAATTTCTATGACACAAAGACTGAAATCTGCACCTGGATTTCTCAAAGAAGTCCAAGGCCCTCTACTAATAACCCCTGAACAGCTGGGGCTCCAACAGCAACGTGCATCACCAGCAGGCACATATTTAAATGGGCAACTCACATAGAGAAGGCTCTTGATTCATAGCCCAGCTCTGTAGAAGAATTCTACTCACGGGGCCTGCAAAGCTGAAGTTCATTTCTGTTAGTCAAAATGGTGAGCCTTCTACCTAGGGCTGTGTGATCGGCATGGCTCACTTGAAAACAACCTTGGCCCAATTCTGTCACTATGTCTCAGGGCAAAGTGGGGGAGAGCTGGCAGCGAGCTGTGGGAGCTGCAGCTACCTGAGATCACCGACTTTCCAGGATACTGCAGTGTAACAAGGCAGAGAAAGCCAGTTAGGCGAACTGAGCCAATGTGCTGTAGACACAAGGCTAGGAAGCCAGCCCCAGGGAGCACAGGCCCAGGTCCAAGGTGATAGAGGCTATTCCCAGGTCAGGATTTCTGCCCTTCCTGAGGTTCCTAGCACCCTCTCCATACATGACTGTATACCTTTCTTTCCAAGACACTAGTGAGTATAAGTACCACCAACTTATTCCAAGGGAAAACCACTACGTTAAACATAAACATCCACTGAGATCTGATGGAAAATATAATAAACATTTAAATGAAAAAAAAATCACCAAAAAGACACACTGTCATTAACCCCCTCAGGACACTCCCCTGGCTTTGAACACACTCAACCCATCTCGCCACTTTCTCAAGCACTCTTTTGAGTCTTTAGTTTCACTGTCACGGCGGCCTCAGTGTCCTGGATCAATTCAAAGCGTTTCCATTCCGTGGTCATTTTGACTTTGGAGATGCACCAAGTCACATGATGCCAGATCTGGTGAATAAGGTGTTGGAGGACACGCGGTGATGTTTTCATGATCCTACCCTTCTGCTGGACGGCACTTGGAAGCATTATTCACTGTACTTTTGATCAAACTTTGTGAAGACCCACATGAAAGAGAATTTCCAGAACTGCTTCAGAAAGTACCAAGGTGTTTGAAGCAAGGGAGAGTATTCTGAGGGGAATTAATGGCAATACTCCTTACTGTAACAAATCTTTTTAAACATCTACTGTATATAGCAATCATACCGTGTAGTCCTGTTGCACGAGTTAAAATATAGAGATGTACCTTAGTATCAAAAGAACATGGAATTATACTTGAATTGGGGGACCAAGACATCATCTTTACATAAATGAAGATGGAAACTATCAGTTTTTTTCCTTCTTCTTAGAGTAAGACTTGGGGTTTTTCATAAGAAACTTGATGCTCCTCAAGAACAAACAATATTCAAACACACCATCAGCTTCCACCCTGGTTTGTGGAGTAAGAAAACGCTCAGAGAGGAGAGGGCAGAAAGGTATTTCGAGTTCCTTCTCTTAAGGAGCTGGGCTCCTACACTATAGCTGCCTTATAAAAAGGACTGCAGCCTCCGAGGCTGGTCAGCAGTTTATCTGCCTGAGTGGAGGAACACAGGGGTTTGCTTGCTGAGGTCTTTCTTATGTTAGGGTGCATGCCACTGTGTCTACCAAACAGTGGGTTTCCTTATGACTGGTATGGTGGTGCACACCTGTAATCGCAGCACTCTTGAGAGGCTGAGGCAGGAAGACTACAAGTGTGAGTCAAGTCTGGGCAACTTAGCAACTTGGTAAGACCCTGTCTCAAAAAATAATAAAGGACTAGGGATGGAGACCCTGGATTCAATCCCCACTAGTAAAAAAACAAAAAAAAAAAAAAAAAAAAAAAAAAAAAAAAAAGAAAAGAAAAGAAAAAGAAAAAGGAAGAAAATATTTTTAAAGAAAATAACATTATAAATTCACACGCCAACTATAAACACAAGGGAAGAAATAGAAAAGCTCTTTGATGCAGGAACAGGAGAGACGATTAAGTATTTGTCTTTTTGCTTTTGCCCCTGAACAAGACCACAGACTCCACTGGACAGCAGAGCTCTCTCCGTCTTGGAATTCGTGGAGGACACACATCAGTCAGAATGGTCAGCACAGGACAGACAGTGACACGTCCAGCTCTCTCCAACAAGCGCGTTTCTGTGGGACGTTCGTTTTTCAGATCAGATTTTCCTTTCTGTGGAATGAATGAATTGTACGGAGAACCCACGTGGAAGCTAAGGGAGGGAGCGGTGCAGCCCAGCACAGGAGAGCCAGGGGGGTGGGGCCGCCTCCTTAGAGGCCCTGGCAGCTCCCCATGGAGCTCTGAAGAATCAACCAAGGGCAGGTGTTTGATCACACAAAGCCTCTATCCCGAAGGAGGCTGAGACTCAACTCCAGGTCCCACTGCACCTTGCAGCCCACTGAGGCCCCGGCAGGGCACCTGTGACGCTCACGGCTCCCATAGCAGGAGGAGGAAACTGAAGAGCAGGTCAGGACCAGCTGGCTTGCAGTGGGCCAGAGCTTTCCCATGAATCTGTCAGGAAAGGGAAGAGGGGTGGCTTCTGTCTGTGAGAAGGTGTGGGAAGCATCCAGAAAACCAACACAGCAATCTCAGAGAAACTCCAACAATGTGAAAACACTTGGAAAATGGTTTAATGATGTTTTACAACAGAAATGAACTGTACAGTTACAGTAAGCTTAATATATATATAAAAAATTACAGCAGACAAATGCATCTACACAAAGTCTACCATTTCATTCAGATTCACTGGCACCTACAGTCTCTCCCAGCTCACAGCCCCCTGCAGGCAGCCCCAGGAGGGGAGTCATATAAAGGGCACTTTAAAAGAGACAGCACCGCTCATAGTCCCCCACCTCCTCAGGCCTCAGGAGGCATCAGCTAATTCCCCAACTTGTAAAGTCACCTGTGTTTCAGGTTTGCAAAACCAAAAAACGTGTGTTTCCAAAGGGGCACAGATAACAAGGCCTGGCGCTCCCAGTTATCAGCGGATTCTTACAAAACATTACTAGCAGGGGAAATGGCTAAACAGGCGCTCTGGGGCAGTGAGGCTACACAATAGCCACCCAGATTGCAGAGTCATCTAGGGGAAATGTAAAAGGACTCCCGATAAACTACTGAGAAACTGTCACTGCCTCCCATTAAAGCTGCTGGACAATTTTGGAAAGAATCATTTACACCGCATCTTAAGTTTCCACAAAGAAGAACTCAAACTCACATTTTTAAAGTACATAAAACAAAACGTTTTGGGAGGCCAAGGAGCTAAGTCCCCTTGTGTCCCTCCCTTGACAACAGTGGAAAAACACCCCTGAATTGATATTAAAAGAAAACAAAAAAGGGAAAAAAAGAAAAGGTGAGGGAGTTAAGATATTTAAAGACAGAAAACATCTTTAGAAAAACACGATCACTGTCTTTTTAAAACAAAACAAAACCCCAGTTGGGCACAGTAATCAGTGAGTATGCAATCCAATTGACACCCAGTAGAGGATTATTACTCAGTATTATGTACACTCAGAACTTTTTCATTTTCTTTTTTATTATGAACACCTAGGCAGTGAAAACTGTTGTTAATACATACATAGACACACCCAAAACATACAAAAATACTATTATTTCAAACTACTAAGAATAGGACAGCTCAATTATTTTCATGCTATGACTTTAAGAGCATTACACTCAAACAAGAAGTTAAACGACATTTTTTTTAATATCCCAGAAATATACCAAAATATACATCTAAGCTTTGGAATTACTGAGGTTAGACTAATGCAAGTGCTGGGTAATCGTACTTAATACACAAGTCTAAGGTTCTGCAGGAAAGAAATTATCTTTGGTATCTGCATCAGGCTAATATTATTAACATTTGGATTTTGCTTTGGGATAGAGCTTGTATGACCCTAGAACCAAATACCCCCCTCCCCCAGTCAACTGAGATTAAAAAGATCCATGTAAAAAGTTCCTTCATTTGCAATCCCCCCACCCCCCAAGTTAAAAAGTCACAGGCATCTACCTAGCACAAAAGGTTGTGAAATACAATGCATAGTTGCACAGTGGTGCTGCAAAAAGGAAACAAAACTACAATAAAGAGAAATGAAAAGCTTGATAATCATTCTGCATGTTTTCTCACAAACAGGACAGCCACTTCCAAGCAGTTCCAGTAAAGGAAATGAGAAAAAAGGCTCAGAAGGGCCCCTCCGCTTGTCCGCCCAGCCCCAGAGGTGAAAGCACCCAGTAGAGCAGCCAATCCTGCACCAGTGTCTTCAACGCTCCACTCTGTGGCGTCCTTGGGCCAGTCCAGCAGCAGCTCCGGCTCCCTGGTCCCTGCGCTAAGTCCCCGCGGTGACCCTGGTTGTTCATGGTGGTGACGGGGTTTTGGTTTTGTTTTGAGAAGTCTGAAATGCCAATTGGTTTCATGCCGTGGCCATAAGCTGCAAGGACCAGGTGCATGCACGGGCGCCAAATCCCAGCCCCCGGAAAAAGGCTGCCCCTTCCGGCTGCGAGGGCCCCACCTGCCCCTGCCCTCACTCTTCTAAATTCCAGGACA